CAGAAGTCATGACCAGAAACCGTAGCAGACAAGCTTGGAAAGCGGCCAAAGTCACCATCAGAGCCACAGCGGACAAGCCGAGGGGAAGCCATGGTCAGAACCGGAGCAGACGAGCGCTAAGACGCGGCGGCCAAACAAGTCATGATCGCGCAGCCAGAAGTCATGACCAGAAACCGTAGCAGACAAGATTGGAAAGCGGCCAAAGTCACCATCAGAGCCACAGCGGACGAGCCGAGGGGCCGAAGCCATGGTCAGAACCGGAGCAGACGAGCGCTAAGACGCGGCGGCCAAACAAGTCATGATCGCGCAGCCAGAAGTCATGACCAGAAACCGTAGCAGACAAGCTTGGAAAGCGGCCCAAGTCACCATCAGAGCCACAGCGGACGAGCCGAGGGGCCGAAGCCATGGTCAGAACCGGAGCAGACGAGCGCTAAGACGCTGGGGCGGCCACCAAACAAGTCATTGATCGCGCAAGCCAGAAGTCATGACCCGAAACCGTAGCAGACAAGCTTGGAAAGCGGCAAAAGTCACCATCAGAGCCCGGGACGAGCCGGCCGAGGGCCCGAAAGCCTATGGTCAGAACCGGAGCAGACGAGCGCTAAGACGCGGCGGGCAAAACAAAGTCATGATCGCGCAGCCAGAAGTCATGACCAGAAACCGTAGCAGACAAGCTTGGAAAGCGGCCAAAGTCACCATCAGAGCCACAGCGGACGAGCCGAGGGGCCGAAGCCATGGTCAGAACCGGAGCAGACGAGCGCTAAGACGCGGCGGCCAAACAAGTCATGATAGCGCAGCCAGAAGTCATGACCAGAAACCGTAGCAGACAAGCTTGGAAAGCGGCCAAAGTCACCATCAGAGCCACAGCGGACGAGCCGAGGGGCCGAAGCCATGGTCAGAACCGGAGCAGACGAGCGCTAAGACGCGGCGGCCAAACAGTCGGGCGGCCACAGAACAAGGAGCGCTGAGGGGCAGAAGTCACGATCAGAATCTGTATCAGACAAGCTTGGAAAGCTTCCGAGAGGCCAACGTCATCATCAGAGCCACCGCCACAAGACGCGGCCGCCAAGCGTCATGCTCGCGCAGGCGCAGAACAACCGAGGGCAGAAGTTATGATCAGAAACCGTAGCAGACAAGCTCGGAACGCCTGTGGAGGCCAAGGTCATCATCAACGCCACAGCATGCGAGATCAGACCGGAGCAGACGAGCGCTAAGAAGCGGCGGTCAGAGACACAGCAGACGAGTTGAGGGGCCGAAGCCATGATCAGAACCGGAGCACACGAGCGCTAAGATGCGATGGCCAAACTTTCATCATCGCGAAGCCACAGAATAACGGCCGAGCACTGAGGCAGAAGTCATGCTCAGAAATAGCGTTCTGACCATGAGGGCGTTTGGCACGCGTCTGCTGTGGTCGATGGGCTGCGTAGCTCCAGCGCTTTCACACCTCAGCCGGACGCGGTTCTGATCGCAGTTCTGATCGCAGCTTCGCCTCAGTCTCAGGACCTTTCACAGCTTGCCACTGCTCTGACGACGATGACTTTGGCCGGCAAGCTTTCAGCTTGCGCGCTGTAGCTCGGTAGCTTTCAGCGCGCGTCTGTTGCGAAACTGGTCATGACATTTCTGATGGTGACTTTCGGGCTTCGGTGGGGTTTCAGCGCTCGACTTTGGCCTCTTGCGGGCCGCTCGTCTGCTGTGGCTCTGCCAAAGTCATGATCAGCAGACGAGCCAAAGTAGGATCAGAATCGCAGCAGACGAGCGCGAAAGCCCTCGCGTCCAAGATCAAGAGCCACGCGAGCGCTGAAAGCTCCCGAGACCAAAGTTATGATCAGAAGGGCAAATGTCACGATTAGAACCGCGTCAGGCAGGTGCTGAAGGGTCCCGAGAAGCCAAAGTCATGAGCAGATCCAGACCATCGAGCGCTGAAACATAATGACCACAAGCGCGGCAGACGAGCGCTTGAAAGCCCCGGCCCAAAACGGGGCCAAAGATGATCACGGCTGAGGAGTCGGAAGTCAGAACAGCAGACGAGTACCGAGGATTAGAACCTCAGCAGAGCGCAAAACCCCCTCGACGGGCCAAAGTCATAGACGAGCGCAGAAGACCCAGCCGCAGCCAACGTCATGATCAGAACCTTGCGGGCGATGAGCAACCTTTGGGCCAGAGGCAGCGCAGACGAGCGCGGCAAGGCCCCCGACAAGCAAAGTCACGGTGTCAACCTACAGCAGGCGTAGTTGGCAGAACTGCTGGCCCCCGTCGGGACGTCATGCAGCGCCTGGCGGAGGATTCGCCTGGCATCGAGGGCCACTTCTTTGGCGCGATCCCGGGAGCAGCGGCAGTCTGGACTGCCCCGCGACGCAAGTCATGATCAGACCCACAGCATGACAAACGCTAAACCGCCAGACTGAAAGTCCCAGACAAACAAGAGCCATGACCAAAAGGTATGACTCATTTCATTGTCAGAACCGCAGCAAATGAGGGTTCCAAAGTCGTGGTCAGAACCGCAGCAGAACCAGAGCAGACAAGCGCTGAAAGCGTCAAGGGTTGATCGCAGACAAGCGCTGGAAGCTTCTGAGAGGGGCGTACGAGTCACGACCAGAACCGCGGCAGACGGGCGCCGAAAGCTGACGAGTCATAGCAGATGAGTGCTGAAAGCCATGATGAGAAGCACCGTGCTGGGGCCAGAGTGATCAGAACCATAGAAGACGAACGCTGAAAGCTTCCCAATGGGGCCCAAGTCATGATCAGAGCCAGACCAGGCGAGCAAAGTCATGACCGCAACCGCAGCTGACAAGCGCTGAAACACTTCAATTGGCCTTGATCAGAATAAAAGCAGACAACGCCTCCGGGTCAATTTTATATCGAAATCACAGCAGACGAGCACTGATCAGAATCACAGCAGACGCCCCCAGAGGGCCAAGACCAGTGCAGAAAACCATCGCGTGATCAGAACCGTGCTGAAAGCAACCAAGAGGCCGAAGTCAGTCATAGTCGGAGCCCCGACCGAGCGCTCAAAGCGCAAACACCACATAGCTCAGACGAGCGCTGAAAGCCCCAGAGCGAGCAAAGTCATGATCAGCACCGCGGCAGACGAGCGACTGACGAGCGCTGAAACCCTGGGGGGCCAAAATCACGCTCAGATGCGCAGCAGACCAGCGCTGAAAGCCCGCGAAAGCCGTGATCAGATCACAGCTAAAAGCTAAAGCTATGGTCAGAACCGCAGCAGAAACTGAAACCTCCGGAAAAACCAAAGCCATGACCCAACAGGTGACTCATGATCAGAGCCGCAGCAAACAACCTCCGAAAGTGGGCCAAAGTCATGGCGCAGGACAAGTGCTGAAAGCGCGCAAGGTTCCAAAGTCATGATCAGCACAGCAGATGATCAGAACCACAGCTGAAGATTTCTGGCCAAAGCGATGTTCAGAACCACGTCAGCGTTTGTTTCCGCTGAGAACCAGCTCTAAAAGAGTCCAAGGGGGCAAAGTGATCAGAGCCGCAGCACACTGAAAGCCCCCAGGGGCCAAAGTCATGGTTAGAACCAAAGTCACCACAGACGAGCAAGCAGCAGAAAACAAAGCCGTGGTCAAAACCACGCGGCCTTGAGCGCTCGGCTGCTGTGCCTTGGGCCCCTCGAAGGCGCCTACGAGGGCGGACAGTTCCCGACCTGTGTGGGCGGGTGGGTGCGTGCGCGTGCGCGTGCGGGTGCGTGCGGGGGTGCGTGGTGTGTGTGTGTGTGTGTGGGTTCGTGTGTGCGTGTGTGTGTGTGTGGGTGCGTGTGTGCGTGTGTGAGTGTGAGAGTGTGAGTGTGTGTGTGTGGTTGTTTGTTTGTTTGTTTGCTTGCTTGCTTGCTTGCTTGCTTGCTTGCTTGCTTGCTTGTGTTTTTTTTTTGTTTGTTTGTTTTTTTTTGTTTGTCTTTTTGTTTGTTTGTTTGTTTGGTTGTTTGTTTGTGTGTGTGTGTGTGCAGTGAAGAGCGTGCGCCCCTGTGCCGGTGTGCTGCGGGCGAGCGGTGTACTTGTCATGGTTTGTGCAGACGTGTGCGCGTGAAGCGGTGCGCTTATCATGGTGCCCGCATGGGTGCGGTACAATGACAAGTGACTGTGACAAGTGCGCATGAACCATCATGAGCGCACGTGCTTATCATATTGACGCCGTGTTTGCATTGACATGATATCTGTGAGTGTGCTGCGTGTGTGCAGCTTAGTGACATATGCGCGTGGGCCGGTGTGCTTATCATGGTGTGCTTGACATGTTGGCGTGAATGGGTTGCTTATCAGAATGCCGTCGTGGTGGCGCCGTGTTTGCAGTGATGTCATACGTGCGGGTGCGCAGTGCAATGACATATGCGCGGGAACCGGTGTGCTTAGCATGGAGGCGCCGTGTTTGAGTGCAGTGGTGAGACATGTGCGAGTGAACGAGCATGCCCTTCATTGTGCTGCCGCGTGTGCAGTGGTTCGACTTGTGCGCGTGACCGGTGTGCTTAGCATGGCGCCGCCTTGTCACATGTGCCCAGTGCTATGACTATGACGTGTGCCCGTGCCCAGTGCTATGACTATAGCGTCCATGTCAACGGCTGAGTGGGTGTGCTTACCATAGTTCCACCATGGTGCAGTGGTGCGCGTGAGCAGGTGTGCTTAATTATCATGGCGCGGCCTTGCCTAGTGCCCAGTGCTATGTGACGCGTGCGCGTGAACTGGTGTGCGTCGCATTCCAGCAAAGAGAAATTCAGACATCCAACCAGAAAGTCGGACACCCAAATGTCAGACATCACCGCGCGGAGAGTCAGACATCATAGCCGCCGACACCCGCCACCCGCCACCCGCCGTGCTTCAAGATCACGACTCCCGATGCCCGCCACCCGGTTTGGATGACGCGGAGATGCGGGGATGAGGGATTCTTGTGTTTGTGATGCCGCTTTTTGCTATGTGGCCCGTTTCCCTTATTTTGGGCCGGCAACGGCTGGCCTTTTGTCTTGTAGGCTGCCTGCCTGCCTGCCTGCCTCCTGCCCACCTGCCTGCTTGCCCACCTGCCTGCTTGCCCACCTGCCCGCCTGCCCGCCTGCCTGCCTGCCCACCTGCCTGCCCACCTGCCTGCCTGCCTGCCTTCCTGTTTTTTGTTTTTTGCGTGTTTGCATGCAGCTTGTTTTCTTGGCTGCTTGCCTGCGTGCCTGCTTGCTTGTCTGTTTGCTTGCTGTCCAGCGTCCGTGTGCTGCTTGTTTTCTTGGCTGTTTGTCTGCGTGCCTGCTTGCCTGCCTACTTGTTTGTCCGTTAGCTTGCCTTCCTGCCTGCTTTTTTGCTTGCTTGTCTGTTTGCAGGTCTTCTTGCTCTGCTCGTCTGCTCGCCTGTTGCCTGCCTGCGTGCTGTCCTGCCTGCTTGCCCTGCCTGTTTTCTTGTTTGCTCGCCTGCTTCCTGCCTGGACGATGGCTTGTCCGCGTGCTTGCTTTCTGGATTGCGCGTCTGTCTGCCGGCCTGCCGGCCTATTGGGATATGACCCCTGGAGCCGCTTCAAGCGGAAACTGGCACAAATCGAGAGCGCGCCGTCGCACTTCAGGCGCCGTGCGAAGGGAGTGTTGTTCTGAGGTTGACTTTGATTTGCTAGAATCTGCTAGAAGAGGGGAGAACAGAAGAAACAGTTTCATGCCCTGAGCACGTGATCCGAGGAGATTGGGTTGCGCGGAGACTTGAAGCTGTTTCTTATGTTCTCCTCTGTTCTGGCAGCAGGGGGGGGGGTTGATGGGGGTGATGATGATGTTGGTGCGCTGGTGATGCATCTGGTTTTTACATAGCTCCCGGGTGACTATAACTCCCGACCCCCTCGGGGACAACCCCCGTAAAGTGAATTGCCGCAGTCATTTATTTTTTGAGCTTTTTGCTTTGAGGGCTCCCAGAAGTGGTTTTCTGTGTTTTTGCCCAACCTGAACGGTGCGAGGGTACCGCCCCGGCCTTACTTCGGGCTGTTTCGGTTTCTAGGTTTTGCACGTTTTCGCCGGTGTGGATGATGCGGAGACGCGGGGATGAGGGATTCCTGTGTCTGTGATGCCGCTTTTTGTGGCCCGTTTTGCTGATTCTTGTCGGTGCTCCCGGGCACGACCCCTCCCCTATTTTCGGCCGTTGCCGGCTGGCCTTTTGTCTTCCTAGGTCCTCGCCTGCCTGCCTGCCTGCCCTGCCCTGCCCTGCCCTGCCCTTGCCTTGCCTTGCCTTGCCTTGCCTTGCCTGCCTTGCCTGCCTTGCCTTGCTTGCCTGCCTGCCTGCCTTCCCTGCCCTGCCCTGCCCTGCCCTGCCCTGCCCTGCCCTGCCTGCTTTGCCTGCTTTGCCTGCCTGCCTTGCCTGCCTTGCCTTGCCTTGCCTTGCCTTGCCTTGCCTTGCCTTGCCTTGCCTTGCCTTGCCTTGCCTTGCCTTGCCTTGCCTTGCCTTGCCTTGCCTTGCCTTGCCTTGCCTTGCCTTGCCTTGCCTGCCCTGCCCTGCCCTGCCCTGCCTTGCCCTTGCCTTGCCTTGCCTTGCCTTGCCTTGCCTTGCCTGCCTGCCTGCCTGCCCGTTTGTTTTCGTCCTCGTTTGCATGCTGATTGTTTTCTTGGCTGCTTGTCTGCGTGCCTGCTTGCTTGCCTGCTTGCTTGTCTGTCTGCTTGCCTTCCTGTGTGACTGCTTGTCTGCTCTTCTTTGTCCTGCCTGCGCCTGTCCGTGTGCTTGTTTTTTGATCGCTTGTCTGTTTGTTTGCCTTGTTGTGTTCCTACGTATGTATGTTTATGCATATGTACATGTATTTGTTTATGTGCATGCTTTGTGATGTTGGGTGCAATTTCACAGTTTCATGCTGGTGTGTGTATGTATGTAATGTAATGCAATGTATTGTAATGTAATGTAATGTGATGTAATGTAATGTAATGGAATGTAATGTAATGAAATGTAATGTAGTGTGATGTATGTATGCATGTATGTATGTATGTATGTAATGTATGTATGTACGTAATGTAACGTATGTATGTAATGTATGTTTTGTTTTGTTTTGTTTTGTTTTGTTTTGTATGTATTGTATGTACTGTTTGTATGTATGTATGTATGTATGTATGTATGTATGTATGTATGTATGTATGTATGTATGTATGTATGTATGTATGTATGTATGTATGTATGTATGTATGTAATGTATGTAATGTATGTATGTATGTATGTACTGTATGCAGGTATGAATGTGCGTATGTACTGTATGCATCTATGTACTGTATGTATGCATGTATGTATGTATGTATGTATGTATGTATGTAGGTAGGTAGGTATGTAGGTATATATGCATGCATGTATATATGTATGTATGCACGCATGTATGTAATGTATGCATGTATGTAACTGTATGTATGTATGTGTGTATGTACATATGTATGAAAGGTAGGTATGTAATGTAATGTAATGTAATGTAATGCAATGCAATGTAATGTAATGTAATGTAATGTAATGTAATCTAACGTATGTATGCATGTATGTATGTATGTACGTGTGTGTATGTATGTATGTATGTATGTATGTATGTATGTATGTATGTACGTACGTACGTATGTATGTATGTGTGGGCATGTATGTATGTATGTATGTATGAATATATGTATGTATGTAATTCTGTATGTAGGTATGTAGGTATGTATGTATGTATGGAGTGTAATGTACGTATGTATGGAATGTAATGTAATGTATGTGTGTATGTATGTAATGTAATGTAATGTAATGTAATGTAATGTACTGCAATGTATGTATGTATGTATGTATGTATGTATGTATGTATGTATGTATGTTTGTGTGTACTGTATGTATGCGTGTATGAATGAATGTATGTATAAATGTAATGTAATGTAATGTAATGTAATGTAATGTAATGTAATGTAATGTAATGTAATGTAATGTAATGTATGTATGTATGTATGTATGTAATGTATGTATGTATGTATGTATGTATGTATGTATGTATGTATGTATGTATGTATGTATGTATGTATATATGTATGTATGTATGTATGCAATGTATGTATGTATGTAGGTATGTAGGTATGTAGGTATGTATGGGAGGTAGGTATGTAATGTAATGTAATGTAATGTAATGTAATGCAATGTAATGTAATGTAATGTAAGGTAATGTAACGTATGTATGCATGTGTGTATGTATGTACGTGTGTGTATGTATGTATTTATGTGTGTATGTATGTATGTATTCATGTATGTATGTGTGGGCATGTATGTATGTATGAATGTATGTATGTACGTATGTAATTCTGTATGTAGGTATGTAGGTATGTATGTATGTATGGAGTGTAGTGTACGTATGTATGGAATGTAATGTAAATGTATGTATGTATGTATGTATGTAATGTAATTTAATTCAATGTAATGTAATGTAATGTAATGTAATGTACTGCAATGTATGTATGTATGTATGTATGTATGTATGTATGTTTGTATGCGTGTATGTTTGTGTGTACTGTATGTATGTATGTATGTCTGCATGTATGTCTGCATGTATGAATGTATGTATGTATAAAAATAATGTAATGCAATGTATGTATATATGAATGTATGTATGTATGTAAGTATGTATGTATATATGTATATATGTATGTATGTATGTATATATGTAATGTATGCATGTATGTAATG